TAGACCGGGAAGGGTAATTTTTCCCAGAAAGCTCTTGTTGCCTGGAAGTTTCTCTACCTCCCTAAGTCTTGTGGTGGCTGGAATATTACATCTTTGAGTGACTAGAATTCTGCTGCTGTAACTAAAATTCTGTGGGACCTGTCTCACAAAGCTGACAGCCTCTGGATAAAGTGGGTCCACACTTATTATTTCAACAGGAGATACTTGTGGAGTTCTGGAATTCCTAGAAAATGCTCTCCTATACCATATTACTAACCTTACCCAAAGTGTTTAAATCCAAAATCATTCATTTTGTGTCCATAAATCCAAAATCATTCATTTTGTGTCCTTAAAACATTCATTTCGTGCCCAAATTATAAAAACGTACAATCTAATTATTTTTGGTCCATGTTCCCAGTCCAATTATTTTTTAGTTGAATGGGGTTTGAAAAGAACTTTCCAACGATATGTTATAAGCCCAAATCCGACTTAAAACGAATAAGTTATGGCCAAAATACTAAACCGAGCCCAAACCGAGCCTAGGTCCACCTCTAGTACGACCCAATGATTATATAGAGCCCAAGTAATTTAGGCCCTATATGATCACATTCCTAAACCTAAATTAGTTAGAATCCTCTAGTTAATTCTAATCTATCCTTTCTGAAAAGATAAAGATTAAAGAAATTCGAGATTGAATAAAACTTCTCATGTGATAATATTTATCCTATTCGAATTCAAACACGTTCGGATATATTCGCATAGAAAACTTGGATATATTTTGGAACCATTGCACAGCGACAGGTCCAACGCGCCGCGTCAACTCTGTCGCGACACGACAAGGGCCAATGCGTTGCGACAAACCTATCGCGCCGCGACAGAGAAGTTCTATTTTATTTAGAACTTCTGATCTTTTTTGATCGATTCGACTCTCTTTTTTTACTTATAAATAGAGGTTGTTTTTCCCGTTTTCAAGCCAGTCACAATCATTAACAATTAAATACAATCATCGTCAATAATCATCAACACACAAATTCCCGAAATTCCTATGTTCTTAGCCTAAACACATCTTTGATACATCCCAATCATCCACCATACTTCCTTTGCGTGATTCGAATACTCCAAACCACACTCGACGTTGTCTTCGACCTCAACATGAAAGGTTAATATTTCTGAGGGTTTGGTCCCAAATCTATATTTCAATTCTTAATTAATTTAGTTAATTATTTACTTTATTGATTTCGCTTTCTTAAAGTTCACTAACGTGTGTATTGTTTTAATAGAAAGAAGGTCGAAGCATCAAAGTGAGTAGTTTAATTATTTAATTACTCTCTTTTGGAATAGAAATCATGTTTAGGATAATATGTTGATTTTGTTAATAGTAACATGCTAGGATTGTTATTAATCTGTTTAGTATCATGCCTAGGATCTTACTATTAACGATGTTTTGATGATATTTTTATGATGGTGATCATGATGTTAATTATATGTTGCTTGATTATCAATCATTTGTTGTTATTGCTTGATCACGCCCCTTTTTGTAGGTTTAAAGGGAATTTGTAATTGAAATCACACCTAATAAGATAATTAATAATTGAATTTAGGCTTAATTTTTAATTCAAGTGATCACTAATATTAGATTTAATTGTGCATCAATAATCAACCAACATAGATCAAACAGGATTAGGATTAATTTGATGAGTGTATGTTGATCGAAAAGCGCACATGAATATCAATAAGAATTAAGTAGAGGCCTATTTAGAGTTGGTATGATCTCTTTGAAGGTTGAATTCATACCATCATCCCCGAACATCCGGTCATGGTTCCAGACCACTATGGAGTTAGCAATCTCTGTGATTGTGAATGGGGTGTAACCTTCACAATCGTGAACGGTTTAGAAGTTCCTAAAACTTGTTGGCGACTCTTTTCTCTAGCTTCTTTTCCTTGGAGCGCCGGCATGCCTAAAAACATGACCCACATGTAGGTCGGAAATGAAAAATTCCCTACAGATATAGTCAAGCAAGTGAAGGAAATTCAAGCTATGATTCAAGCGGCGTAGGACCGTCAAAAGAGTTATGCAGATTTGAAGCGTAGGGAAGAAGAGTTTGAAGTTGGTGACAAGGTGTTGTTGAAGGTGTTGCCAATGAAAGGTGTCATGAGATTTGAGAAGAAAGGGAAACTTAGCCCAAAGTATATTGGTCCATATGAGATATTACAAAGAATAGGCAAAGTAGCCTATAGGTTGGCCTTACCTATGGAGTTAAGTAAGGTGCATGATGTGTTCCATGTATCACAATGGAGAAGGTATATACTTGAAAAGTCACACGTATTACATCCCGAAACAATTGAATTAGATCAGCTTAACTTATGAGGAAAGACCTGCCAAGATACTTGACAGCAAAGTGCGTAGTACACGCAATAAGGAAGGTAAGATTGTTAATTAAGGTGCTATGGTCTAACCAAGAGTATGAGGAAGCAACTTGGGAAGCCGAGGATGAGATGAGAAAGAAGTACCCTGAGTTGTTTTAGGTATGTTGAGTTACGGGGACGTAACTCGTTTTCTTTAAGGGGGTAGAATGCGGTAGAATTTCGCTCTTTTTCCCTGAATCTAACTAATTTTAGTGCTGTTTACACATTATTAACGGTAATTTCGAGTATTTTTGGTTCCAAGAAGACATTAAAGGTAAATGAGTACAACAATATTACACAAAATGAGGAAAAAGGTTTTCAAAAGTTAGTATTCTTTCACTCATGGAGTGTGGGTTTTGTTTTTATAAAACGAAACTTCTTTTAAGGGGGGTAGACTGTAATACCCCACATTTTTATACGGTTTATATATTAAAGTATCATTTTATAATGTACTTAAATAAATTGAAATGAATTATTTATGGTATTTTGATATTTAAAAAGATGTATTTAAATGAAAAACCCATTTATTATTTATTTATATGGTTTGGAAATATTTTATTTTTAATATTTGTAAACTTTGGGGCACATTAAATTTATGAAGGAGTTTTAAAGTCAAAGGAATTTTAAATAAAGTCAAAAGACCATTTGAGTGAAAGTGGAAATCATTAAGGGTAAAAAAGGAAGATCAAGTAGAAAGAGGGTTTTAGAGAGGAGTATAAATACTCACCCAAAGGCAAAAATCAGATTTTGCCCAAGGTGATAATTTCAAAGAGGTAAAGTCTCTCTCTCTCTCTCTCTCTCTCTACTTATTTTTCCCCTTAATTTTTCCCTTCCCCTTTTATCATCACAGGCACCACCACACACACCACCATGGTGGCCGGCTTCTACCACCACCACCATAGTCGGTCGCCGCCAGTACTTGTCGGCAGCAGCAGCAGCCGTGGGGAGGCGGCAGCAACTGTCCTCCCCTTCCCTTGTATGTGTGCTGTTTCAAGAAAAAAAAAACTTCTTCTTGTTTTAAATTCAATCTAGCTTTGATTAATTATTGATTTTGGGTGTTGCATGATGAATTTATGATGTTTTTAATGATGACTAATATACATAATTTTCAAATTTATTTTGGTTTTTATATGGAAAAGCCCCAAATTGATAAACCCTAGGTTTCTAAATTGATGTTTATTGAAAGAATGAATTAAAGTATAGTTGATTAGTACTATTGAAATTAATGTTTTTAAACTAAATTACAGCAAGTTTAAGGGTTTTTGTATTGCTGGAATTTTTATGTAGAGGCTAAATTAAGGTTTTCTTGAAAGGATTTTAATTACCCATTAATTGGGAATAAAACTAAGTAGTTATAAATAATTTTCAGCATGTTTAAAGAGGTTTAAAAGTGTTTTAAAGTGAGTTTATATTGCTGAAATTTAATTAGAGTGGGTATTAATGTCTCTTGGTATTTGTGGGTTGTAGGAGACTTCCAAGTGAGTGATTTTGTATAGTCGTGGCAATTTTGAGATCATATTCGTGGTATATACGCGTACTCGATATTATTTAAGCGTGTAGAAGCATGCTAGGATTTATTTTGATTGATTTCAAACTAGTATCATGTTAGGATTTGGTCGGAATTGTTGGATTGAATTGAATTGTGGATATTAGATTGGAATTGATGACTTATTTACGAGGCATGCTTGGCTGAATGAATTATTGAGTGGAATTAATTATGTTGGTATGTTATATATGGACCACACTTTTATTATTGGCATGATTGAAGGCATGTTTAATTAAACTAATTGTTTAATTTAGTTTGGAATTTAAAAAGGGAATTATATTATGGTTCATATAATTTTATTGACGCTATAAGCATGGGAATTAACCTATCAAGTGTCTTAGTACACAGGAATAAAATGTATGGAGGTGCCTAAGTGCACTTAAGTTGCTCTAAACACCGAGGGATAGGATTTGCAGTGCTTTATGCGTTTAAAGTGTTTCTACACAGAGGTAGTTTTAAAAGGGTTCAACATTAAATTAAATGTGATCACTAAATATTCAAGAATTGAATGTTTGATTGCTTGAATAATTCATGTTGATTGATTTTGTTGTGGATTGAGAGTCATCTGATCACCAAGTCTAAAATATGTAATCAACGTAAAGTGAAAGAGATTACGCACCAAAACTCTTGGAACTTATATACCTCGAGTATGAACATACGGGGGAAGTTATGGGGTTTTATATTTAACTATAGCTTCTACTGGGAGTATAGGACGCTGTATTTTCCTTTTATTATTTTATGCGCATGATGTCCGTCACTCACAAGTAACATTTATGGCTATCCGGTTAGCTCCCGAAGTAGTTTACCCCAATTCTTTAGGGCTGGGATTTGGTGGGAAACTCGTTTGATGCGTAATCAAATAAATAAGCAATTTAATTGTCTATTGTTTGAGCTGTATGTTGTATGCTTGTAAACAGGTGCAAAACGGTAAGTTGCTTGATGCTAGGTTGTAAGCATGTTAGTGTGTTTCATTTACGCTTATGTACTCAGCATTGCTGATTGTGTGTTTGTATGCTTGTTTAGCCTTGTCTTTATCTTGGCCATACGACGACCCATTTCAAATGGCGAGTAGTGGGGACAAAGTACTTAAAGAGAAGCTTTTCAGGTGATGAAGCATATACATGTTGGGGCATGAGTGAAGAGAGAATCTTGCATAGTTTCTATAAGAATATGATATGTTTAATTAGCTTTAATTATTTTTTATTTGCTTGTGAGACTAACGCAACGTTTAAAATTATTTGGTTTGGGTTTGAAAGGGCCTATAATGGTTCCAAGTTGTAGGTTGACTTTGTTTGACTTTGATTTGATTTACTTTTTTTTGGTTTGACTTTTGAAGTTGGTTTTATTTTTTAATGGTTTTTGAAACGAGTCTTCCGCTCTGTGTCTTTGATAATTGCCTTAACCGTTATCACGGTGGCGGTAATATCGTAGTATTTCCTATTTCGTATTTTGAAAAGGGCAAAACAGGTATTTTAAAGGGAAGAATTTCTAGGGTGTTACGTTGGAGACTCATCAAGTGCAAGAATTATCCTACGTATCACCGGTATTTTATTAAGTTCATGAAGTTGTTCATGCCAATAGATAGGTGGAGAGAAGCAATAATGGTCATGTTAATGGAGAATGAGAAATCCAAAAAATTTGGGGGTTAGTTATTTTGGGGAGGGACATAAATAGGTTTAAGGACGAAGTTGATGAACGCGGTGGACAAGTCTTCAAAATAGAATGGAGTGTAACCTATGTGTGGCTAAGGACATACAAGAATGATCCGTATCAAAACAACTTAAACGGGTCAAAATACAAGAAATTCAAGTGAACCATGGCTGAGCAAACAACAATTACTACACTACTGAAGTTAGGGATTTCATTGCATTTGATTTCGATAATTACCCACACGGATATTTGGAGAAGTTCAACATGTGCCTTCATATGAACTATTAAGGGATGACGAGTATGATTCGGCAAGACAAAATATCCCAAATGACGATTGGTCATCGGATGAATGGGAAGAAATTGAAATATGAAGTGACTTATGTGGCATATTTCAGTGATCTATCTTGCATTTTGCATAGTATGTTCTATGTATTAATAATTTACCTTTTGTAATGTATTGCATTATACAATCTGTAATGCTTATATGCTACTGGGTTTCTGTTATATTTGTGCACGCTTCAATTTATCCTTCTATACAACAAAAGCATGGCGAATATAAGTTAAGCATGCTGCATATTAACCATGCTACATTAACAAAAATTTAACAAGAATGAGAAGAAAGATGTACTCATAATGCTCCACTTAGTCTGTATCTGATATGCACAGGCTTTTATGCACGCAAGCATGAATACCCCACATGATCTGCTTGACATGTACAAGTGAAGGTCATATTAAATTCATAATAAAGGAATGATTACAGCATATGCAACATCAAAGCACAGCAAAAACATAAATTTTGTACACTTACTGATCTGTGCGGTCCAAGATTTGTACAACCTTTTGAGGCCACGCTGCGATTTGTCCAAGCTTTCATTGCGAATGCCGCAGGGAATTGATCAGCACATCTACAACATTGGTCTGCTTAAAAAAAAAAAAAAAAAAACCCAGTAAATAATGGCATAAATGCTTGATTGGATTCAAGTAAAATACAAATCCAATCCACACAACTAAGCACATACCAAACTGACACAATCAGACTAGTGAGCGACCCACGACTCTAAGTACATATTATCAATGTACCGCCTTGTCTTTGCTTGCAAATCAAACATCGCGCACCATTAATGATCGTTTTTTAACATAGGTACAAATATCTTCACATAGACACATGACGACATCAGTAAATGGAAGCATGACAAATAATAATAATTACAAGGGGAAGGAGTTGATTTATTTAAGGCCTTACAACTAGCAATTCACCAAGTGGAATATTTGCAATTGCATTCCAGTGCCGAAGGGCTACCTGGTATTTGTTAGTAGATGACAAAGCTCGATTCTATTGTAAAAGCACAAACACATTAGCTGCATTTAATATGTCATAGGAACCAATAAAAGGCATATAAAGCATTTACCGAGAAGTTAGGAGACATGAGAATTGCTAGGGAATTGCTCTTGCTAGGGAATTGCTCAACTTCCCATTGTCTTGTGTACAACTTAGAAGCCATACGGACATAGCCAGTACTCATGCACTTCTTCACCATCAAAACATGGTAGCAATCTTTAAGGGTGGCATCAACACCATTGCATTGAACAAGCACTGGACAGTACCTGCTTAATCCAGAAATATAACCCACAAATACATAAGAATTCCTAAGTTGAAGGACAAAAAAAATGGAAATTATTGAAAAATTCAAGTAAGGCATTTCAATATATGTGTTATACCTTTCACTTCGTACTAACCAAAACGAACGAACATAATCTAGAAACCTTTTCTCCAAAATTGATTGTTTGGTAGTGTTAGGGAGTCCAAAAATCAAACTGACATTTGTTGGCTTCAAAGGTCTCTTCTCCCTCATTCTACGCTTTTCATGAGGTGGATGAACAAACAACCCCTCACTCGGTACATCCGCTCGAGATGGAGTTTCTTCACGAACAGGCTCACAAGATATCTCCTTCCCATTCCCTTTGTCCACCTCCACACCATCAGATTCTCATTCCCCTTAGTTTTGTCATTCTCCTCCTCAGAAGATCTCTCCTTATGAGGAGATCTCTCCTCATGAGTAGATCTTCTTAGGAGATTTCTCCTTCTCAGGAGAATTCTTCTCAAATCTCTCCTCATCCTTAGATTTCTCCTTCTTAGGAGAATTCTTCTTAGATCTTTCCTCAGATTTCTCATTGTCAGTAAAATTCTCCTCCTCCACAGATTTAAACTTCTCAACAGATTTAGACTTCTCAGGATGGTCCTCCTGAGATTTGGAACTCTAAGGGTCAATGATTTAAAACACTTGACTAGGTCCAACCTCCTCATCATCATCAAACATAAATCGAACATACCGCCTTGACTTGCTCTGTCTAGACTCATATTTCGGAGGTTGGGCCTCATTCCTCACTACATCAGTGACCATCCTCTCCAATTGAGGTTTTAACAGCTTCACTACCTGCAATTACAATTATAATTGCAAAAATAAGATGAAAAAAACAGACAAAATAAAATACCTCCAATTACCTATAACCTGTACATATAACAAACAAAGAGACTGCATATATATGTTGCTATGTTACCTTAGCAGCCACCTTCTACACTAATGTCCTCGAGAAGTCTCGAACTGCACATGGATGATCCTCCTCTCCAAATGCAATTGGGGCAGACTGAAACAACAGTTCCTTTTTTTTTTTTTTTTTTTTTTTAGTTTTTACAGTTCTAAAATAAAAATTAAACCAAGTGTAATAAAAAAAAAGGAAAAGCATAAACCTTGAACTTTCCGTAATCGTCAGACGTTCTCCATTTGTCTTCTTTCATAGCCATGGACAATTCAGCCGGCGTCCACACCTTTATTCTTGGTAAAACACCCCACTTGACAGGAGGTCGGTGTAGATGGTCAAGATAGAACATATGTGTAGACACCTAAAAATGTCTCCCCAAAACCAAACCCGATGATGAACAATCTTTCACTACCATTATGGGTCGGGTTGCGTATTAAATCTGCAAAGTGCTTAAAACCATAACCTTAGCCCAACATTTCATTTACCACCTCCGTTTCATATTTTTTGCAACTTTGGGGTATTATTTGTGAGATATGAAATATTCAAAAGTTGCAAAAAATATGAAATGGAGATAGTATTCCACCTAAACGAATCCAATTCCTAGCCCATTTCCCCAAGCCATAAAGTTTTTTTCTCTTTTTGTGACCATAATCCAAAAATGGGAAAAACTGATTTTGTGGCCCCATAATTTTGATTTAAATATTATTTTGTTGGATAGGCATTGAAATAAGCTTTCCAATTAAATCATAAGCCCAATTGCGATTTAAAACAAAGAAGATATGAGCAAAACACTAAAATTTGGCCCAAAACCGACACCCTTGCACTAAAACAGCCATATCATAAAATCTACAAAAGTTTTTGACCTGATTCTAATTGGGCTTGAAAGTAGACTTAAATATCTTTCCAATGATATAATTTATGTCTTTTTCCAAGTTACGGTTCAAAAGTTATGGATGTTTTAAAAACGCATAAAAACTGAAAAGTACCGCGTAACGGTACAAAATACCGTGCCACATTACAAAGTGCCTTGCCTCAGTACTAGTGCCGCACCACGGCACCAAGATTTTTCCAGGTTCTTTTCACGTGCTTTCTTTTCTAGAAATGATAGAATTTGGTACCATGCCACGGTACCTTTTTCTTCAGCGACGCTTGTATTCATGGGTTCCGGACTGCATCCTTCACATTTCCTATATAAATACGAAGCTCATTTACGAGTTTCGTGGCAGCAACCAATTGATACTCTCTTCCTCTTTTATGCTCTACCCTAAATACTTGCCTTCCTTATTTCACAATTCATCCCTTAAGCACTCCCCGGAGTCCATACTTTACCTAAAATTCCGTACTGAAGCCAAGGCGTGAAAGGTAGCCCTATTTGAGGGTTTAGCCCCAAATCAATTTTAGTTTCATTTGATTTAATTTCCATTATTGTTTATTAATTTCCTTAAAGGTACTAACGTGTTTATTGTTTTATAGTTGCAAGCAAATGCAATCAAAGTAAGGAACCATGTTCCTTTTGTTCCTATTATAAAACTAACGATTTCTATTATGTTTGTCATATATTAATCGTTGTTATTATGGTTAAATTGCTTACAATGTTATTGCTTATTTTATATATGGATGATTACCACATTGCATGTTTAAAGGGAATATGTAATTGAATATAACGACTAATAAGATAATTTGGACGACCGGTTTAGGTTCCTTTTTAATCTTGCTGTTAATTGAAGTGATCAGAAATATTTTAGAATTATGTGTTGCATTCATATTCACCCAATTTAGCCTAATCTAGTTTGGAGTAAATTGAATCTTTATTTGTATGCCTTTGAGATTGCAAGAAATACTTTTCACAATAAGAATCGAGCAGAAGCCAATACGGGAGAATATGACTCCATGACTCACTTCGTACCATCATCCTCAATCCTCCTTTCGTGGTTCCGAACTGTAGACACCTGATTGTGTCTCCCCAAAAACCAAACCCAGTGATGAGTACCTTTCACGTCTTTGATTAAGGAGTTAGGTGAAGAGTTGAAGAGTATCGTGAAGTTCCCTTTGACCTTGACCGTTTCTAACCTTTCTTAAAATATTTTTAGCCAAAATCATTTATTTCGTGTATTTTAACCCAAAATAGTTCATTTCGTGTCCCTTAAAATCATTCATTTCGTGTCCTCTTTATAAAACGTCCAATCCAGTTTAGTTTGGTCCATAATCTGGGTTTAATAATTGTGTAGTTGGATGGGGCTTGAAAAGATCTTTCCAACGATATATTATAAGCCCAAATCCGAGTTATAATGTGGAACTTATGGCCAAAATACTAAACCGAGCCCAAACCGAGCCTTACCTACGGACCCAATGATCATGTGGAGGGTCCATTAACCTTAAACATCATTTCTAAAACCCTTAGGATTTATTATTAGCTTCTAGAATCCTCTAAAAGGTTCTAATTTATCCTGTTTTTGAAAAGATAAAATCTAAGAATTTTACTTCGGATAAAACACTTGTTTTTAATATATTTAATTCTGATAAAATAATGATAAGTACGGATATTCGACTAACCCAATTTGATTGGAAGTTGGATTCCGTACGGATCTTATTTTTTGAAAAGCATCGCGCAGCGATGGAAATATCGCACAGCGATGCTAATATCACGCAACGATATAAGCATCGCGACGCGATTAAACCATCATTACGCGATGAAAAGCGTTTTACTTCGAGTCGGATTCTGACTCTTTTTCTAATCTTTTCTCTCGTTTTTTCCTATAAATAGGGTCGTTTTCCTTCGTTTTCATTCACCAACAATCATCATCCTAATCGCTATAAGCTTCCCTCTCTCTCTCTCTCTCTTTCTTGGCCTTAGCCTAAACACATCACACACCATACGACCTTTGCGAGACTTGAATACTCCTAGCCAAGCTCGATGTTGCCTTCGACCTCGACGTGAAAGATTGATATTTCTGAGGGATTGGTCCCAAATCCTTATTTCAATTCTTATTTGATTTATTTGTTTGATTTATTTATTTCTTGAAGTTACTAACGCGTGGATTGTTTTAATAGAAAGAGATACGAGGCATCAAAGTGAGTAGACCTACTATCTTTATTCCTTGTTTTTGATATAGAAATCATGCTTAGAATATTATTTTAATATCCTAGTATCATGTTAGGATGTTGATTTTGATTTCTAGTATCGTGTTTAGGGCGTTAATTAATATTTCTAATATCATATTCTTAGAATCATGTTTAAGCTCAAGCTTTGATTTTTGTTGTTTAGTGACATGCTAGGGTTTGTTATTAATCCGTTTAGTATCATGCCTAGGATCTTGCTAATATTATTTTAAAGATATTGCATTGTTATTATGATGATTATTTGTTGTGTCAACATTGATTACACTAGTAGAAAAAATGAAATAGGCACCGCAAATTGCGCACCGGTTTTTAAAAACCGGTGCAATAAAAAAATAGGCGGGATTGAGGGGAAGACTTTTCGCACCGGTTCTAACCAAACCGGTGCGAAAAGTAAGTAAATCGCACCGGTTCAGTTCGAACCTGTGCAAAAGCTGTTGTAAAATAAAAAAAAAATCGGTTATTATCTTCTTTCTTTCTCTTTCAATTCCTCGATCTTTCCTCCTCTCTCATCTGCCTTTCTCTCCTCTCTCTCTCCTCCATTGAAGCGTACTCGACATTCTCCATTGAAGGGGCTTCAACTCGACCCAATTCAACAGCTTCTACAATCACCCGAGATCAGCTCGCTAAATTCTTAGTACTTTCCTCAAAACCTTGTTGTTCGATTTACGTTACAAGATTTTAGGGTTTTTGTTTGGATTTTTCAAGGGTTTCGTCTGTTAATAGTGGCGGCACCTTCTTGCAAGCCTTATTGCAACCTATGCACCCTTCCTTGGTTTCATTGTGGAGTTCTTCAGTTGTGCTCCATCAATCAAGGTTTTCCTCTTTCTTCTTTTTCAATTGCATTCAATCTTAGGGTTTTGTTTGTTTTTAAACTTGAGGTGTTTTTAGGGTTTTATTTGGCGGTGGTGGCAGCAGATATTACAGCAGCGGAAGGAAGACTAACTCAGTTTCAATTGCACAATTTGTTGAAGACTAAAATCGTTGGCTTCATCTTCTTTTGTTGAGTTTTCCTGAGTTAGTGTTCCATTGTAAAAAGTGGGTTGAGTTTTTTTCCTTTCTATTGCTTCTTTTACAGTGTTAGGTTTTGCTCTTTCAGGTTCTCGTTGTTCTCTTTATTCTTGAGTTTGTGTGTTTGTTTAGTGTTATTGATGTTAATTTGATCAGTTTTGCTGTTGAGATCAATGAGCAATTGCATCTTTAGTGGATCAGTTTTCCTTTTCCTTTCTATTTTAATCGTGGTGCTGCAAGATTAGTTGTTGCGCGTGTGGTGTTGTGCGTGTATTGTTGCGTGTGTGGTGCGCTACAATTGCGTGTTATGTGGTGCTCTGTTGTGGGGTGCTGTTGTTGTTATTGAGTGTGGTTGTTGTTGCATCTCTAAGTGGACTGATTCTTCTTATCCTGTGAGTATATAAGATATTCTTATTTTTTAAATCATTCTACAGTGTTTTGTATGTGATTGGTTACTGTTCATTTTTAAGAACTGAAAATTGATATCACATGCTTAGAGTTTGAAGACTCCTCAACTCAAACATTGTAACTTGTCTGGTTGTTGATTAATTTATTTTTATTTGATTGATTTCTGTGCCTATAACTTATGTGCTTATTTTACGTAAAAACTTCTTTGGATTTATTAGAATTTTCATATGAACTCATGAGGAACATTTTGTTGTTCCTACCAAGCATATAATCCGTGGTTGGCGAAATATTGGTGCCATGATTCAATTTTACCTTCCCCCGAACCCCAAGAGTGGTAGTTGTCTTTTTAGTCTAGTGTTTTTTGCTTTGTGATTTTGTTAGCTTGAGAATTGTTTGGGAATTTAGTAATCATCACTTTGTCTTTCCTGTTCTGGAGTCAGAGGTAACAGCCCTGGAACATCCGTCTTTTCTCCATTATTTGCTGCTAAGATATTGTTGTTCTAATTATTAATCTTTTGTGATCATCTAGGTTTGTTGATACTGTCAACAACAACCTAATAATTCAACATGTTTCGTTTTTCAAACCTCAGAGAATTTGTGGATATGTGTAATATGTGGTTTTGTGGGTTGTGGAAGGTAATAATTTCTTTCCTATTCTAATGAGAAATTTCAGGCCATCATAGTTTAACCCCATAGTGTCAACTTTCAAGTACGTAATGATAAGAAACTATTCTCATTATTGAAATGGCCAAAGGAACGTAAAAAATTATAAAAATAAAAAAAATATCACATTTAATATGCCTGTCATATAAACAAGATATTTTAATTGTCTAAATTTTCTGACCAGGAAACGTTTGATCCAGGTATAAAGATGGCATGTTATAATGCATTGGAAAAAAACACAGCACTATTACTCCCTGGGCTTGGAAATTTGGCGTGTTTGGGATTATGTTGGCGACAACTATGTCCACCGTTTAATACAATAAAAAAACCGATGGGAAGTTGGTTGAGCTAAATGCTCCTTGTTCACATGCCATGCATGGTTGTGGAAGTTGTGAGTGTAATGGGGATCCTGAAGTAAATGATGCCATCGTTAATAGTAAAATTGAAGTTGTATGTTTGTATTTTTTCTTTATTTTAAGTTAAAGATTTTTGGCTTGTTTCTGCAAATTACAGAGATTAAATTTCCCTATTTTTGGTTTTTCTTACCAGATCGTAAATGAATACAATGAGCTTCTTTCCACACAGCTTGAGAATCAAAAATTGGTGAGGCCACTTAAGTTTTACAGATACTTGTGCATTGCTATGTTGGCATTTTGATACTTTGTTCATAACTGGATATACGATTTGTTTTGACAAATTCCTCGCTGCTTTTGTTGAAGCTACTACACTAGAAAATCTGTTAGAATTGATGAAATTATTATGTAACCATTTGTCATTTGAATTTGCAGGAGTATTGGATATTGATGATGAACCTATTTGGCACTTAAAGCTGTCTAGGATTCTCATGAATAGGCTAGTCATTGGAGAAGGTACATTGTCTAGAATCACTTCATAGTTCAGATTATGAATGATTGATTTTTCGTGTCTTATTATTCATCATTGTCTCCCACCTTTTTTTTTGTTCCTTTAGGTATTAGCTAAGTATGCGTAGGGTAGATTAATCTGTATATTTTATGATATCAAAGTTTGTTCAGTGAAGCATGTAGGTAGAACTGGCTACTTGTTCAATACTAGGTACTTAAACATGTTAAAGTCAAGGATAGTTGTTGGCTGATTGAACCTTTTGATGTTGTTTGCTTTTGTGTTAGTGTAGAAAATCATAAGTTGGTTAATGTTTTTTTAGTTAATTAATCGTCAAGCAATCTGTTTATTATTGGAGGATGACGACTTGATGATAGCTTGTAGCTGAATAGAATTGGCATGGATTACAAAATATATATTAAGAATGTGAGCCAAGTTGACTTGCAAACGCGTTTAATAGCTTTGAATGGATGATATAACCATTTGTAATATGTATTGCAGGAGCATTAGATTAAGGATGAATCTATTTGACGTTCAACCTGTCTGGGATTTCTCCTAGCTGGTAGTCACTGGAGAAGGTGTGTTTTCTTGCAACACTTTTTGGCTTTCAAAATTTCATATCTTAAGCTATTCATGGTTTGTTCATTTTGAGTTTCCATGATGCCTTTTTTTGTTCGTTACTTTGTGTATGAGCTGAGTAAGTGTAGGGTAGGTTAACCTGTGTACTTTGTGATATTCAAGGTTGTTTAGTGAAACAATTAGGTAAAACCGGCTGCTTTTTGAAAACTTAAATGTGTAAAAAGGCATGTATAGTTGCTGGTTGACTGTAAGTTTTCATGATTTCTGCTTGTGTATTACTGGAGAATATATATTTCGTCAGTGCTTTTTATGTAAATCGTCAAGCAATTTGTTGATAATGGGAGGATGAGAACTGGATGATATTAAGCAAGCTGATTCTCGTAGTCAGTCTCCCCGCAAATCTGATGTAGATGTGAGTTTTTCAGCAATATATTTGTCTTCTTGGTCAGCTTAAACTTTTATGAAAGTTGTAATGGTGATTTTGCTTTTTCAGGAGTAAAGGTCGTTGCACTCGACTAATGCTATGATCAGAATGCTTCTAATGCCAGCTCAGTTTGCCGGAGAGCCTTTTGCATGTCCATGTTGTTCAGTGCTTGACTTGAATTGAAATGTTTGTTCAAAGTTAGAACTTTCTTAGTTGAATTCAATGCTTCTTTTAACTTTTCTTGGTATGGTCATGTTGTTTGGCTATTGAGCTCTATGAGCAGTTTATTTGTCAATATGTTAAAGAACTTGAGGTGGTTGGATGGTCTGTTAGTCTTAAAGATTATCTTATGTTATTTTATTTTATATTTTATTTTTTTGGACGAAAATAGTAATATTACAGCCTTTTTTAATGAAAATATGTAACTTTATATATATGTTAGTGATTATATATCAATTTAAGTGAAAAAAATGCCAAAAAAAAAAGTTTTATTTTTTTGGGGCATTTTTGGCACCGGTTTTGAAACAGTTTTTTTGGGCCATTTTTCGCACCAATTCACAGCAAGAAACGGTGCTAAAAGTTTTTTTTTTTTAATTTTTTTGGACCCATTTTCGCACCGGTTCACAGCAAGAACCGGTGCGAAATCTTTTGGTTTTTGGCATCCCTCAAATAGGGACCGGTTCAAAACCCGTGCTAAATGGGGGTTTTGAACCGGTGCCCGTTTGTGTTTTTTCGCCTAGTGTTATTACATTGCTTAATTATTTATTATTTATTGTTATTGCTTGATCACGCCCTTTCTTGTAGGTTTAAAGGAAATTTGTAATTGAAATCACGCCTAATAAGATAATTAATAATTTTTTTTAGGTTTAATATGATTTTAATTCAAGTGAATCGCCAATAATAGGTTTATTTGTGCATTAATAATCAATTAATATAGATTAAATAGGTTTAGGATTAACCTGTTGTGTGTATGTTGATCGGAAAGCGCACATGAATGTCATATGAATTAAGTAGAGGCCGATTTAGGGCAGGTTCAATCTCTTTTAGGATGGATTCGTACCATCATTCTCGAATATCCAGTCATGGTTCCGGACCACTATGGAGTTAGCGATCTCCGTGATCGTGAATGGGGTGTAACCTTCACACCCGTGAACAGTTTACAAGTTCCTAAAACTTGTTGGCGAATCTTTTGCTCTAGCTTCTTTCCCTTTGGACGCCACCATGCTTAAACTCATGATCACAGTGGGGCTCAAAGTTGAGTGTTGAAATATTCCCTACATGAACCATATGGAGTTAGTAATCTCATGGATTATGAATGGGGTGTAACCTTCACAGGTCAACCATTGTTGCCTTTCGTTGTCCCTTATCATGGTTGCCTTAAATGATCCGTGAACGGTTTACAAGTTCGTTAAAAAACTTGTTGGCGGCTCCCTACTCTATTTATCCCTAATTGTATAATGTCAATTCCCACTTCGTATGATTGCTAAGCATATTCACAACATGTTTAAGTAGGCGCTCTTCGAATGACGCCTACAACCTGCAATAAACATAAAATCAACATTGTAAAGCATATGATTAAAAATCAAACATCATCGAGTGCATCCAAGTGAATTAACAAAATTCACTTACCAATTAATACAAACAGTGAGCAGCCACAACTTGCAACAAACCCGTTCTCATCAAACTTATCCGCAAACACCTTAACACAACCCATTAACCAATTATATACTATGGTGCACCAATCATACTTGGTCGAATGCCGAGCAACTGTAATAGCTGGTGTAAGCTTCTTCGCTAAGAGGCCCCATTTTGTTGTGGGACATAATATGGCACCCACAACAACAATAAGAAAGGCAGTCCTGAACTACATCTTCTCTGCATCATTAACAAGAGGCATTTCATTCCCATCCTCATCCAACCCCTTAGTAACAACCCCTATTACCTTCTCCAAAGAAAGTGAATCTCTGTCTTTCCCTCCAACCCTATAATCTTTTATAATATCACCCAACTTCTTCATCATCACACGATCATCCCTATCGACCTTCAAAGGAACTTCTTTATCTTCCATTGGCAACCCCAATATACATTGAAGTTGTATTGGGGCCAACAACATTACTTGTTTCATAACCAAATTCTATCGAACCGCAACTTTGAATCCTTGACAGTATCAAATAACAAAACTGCCTTGGCAAATATTTTAACTTCAGTTCCAATAGCCCACCAAAACCCATCAACTTTACTTCCTCCTTCCTGCTTCGATCTAACGATTTGATTACCCTCGAGTAAAACATATCAACCCGACATATCACATTTGGACCCTACAGTGCAATCAAAATAATACAGTAAAAGCTTTACTTGCAAGATATACACCTTACCTAACTGCACTTCCTCGCCTGTGTAGCAACAACATCATACCTAGCTTCACAATCTCCCCTTTGCTACGTTCAATCAGCTTTACACATCCAGAATGATGTAATTAGCACAATTATAAAACCAAAACTACAAAGCCAAATCAGCTTACAAACATTGTCTTTTATGTAGACTACACTGTCATTCACTTTTACCTTAGATTTGTATTGGTGTTTCCTTCTTCTATCATCCTTAGATTTATGGGAAGAAGAATGAGTGGAATTTTGAGAGCCACTTCCATCTTCACTCTTGCCTCTTTCAATCGAATCGGATTTCTCATAAATACCATAACAGTCATCATATTCAACCCTTTTTCTTTTCTTCAACATGGTTTAAAATCCTACGACCATCGTGTCTTACCATTCTCTTGTAATATTAAGCAATACAGAGAAGAACATCAACATAATTCACACAATAATACAATGAACAACATCAAACAAATACAAACAACACAAAACCAAATAAATAAATTGCAAAAGTAAAGGCTAAAATAAGAATACTTCAATTACTTTGTTTTGAATAAATGTTGCCACAAACTTAGTAAACTACACTACATAATCTAGTAAACCTCATCAACTTGGTTTCAATTTATATGCAAGTATACCCTATTAAAAAATTAGTTGCTTAACAACCTATACCATGTTTACATTTTGCATAAATCGTAAAATTAGTTGATTTCGTATTGTTTTATACATTGTTTTATACCTATTAACTTCAGGATTCAATCAACATGTTCAATCAAACTACATTACTTAAATAGAAACCAAACGCTATATCAAACTACATTAATTAAATAATGGAAACCAAACGCTAAATCAAACCATTCGTTCAAATTGAAGCGTAGATTACCTGAATCCTTTGCGAATTCCTTTGCAACCACCCTAATTCCTTTTGCAAAGCAAAGCCCTAATTTAACTAATTTGAGCTTGGAAGAGGGATCCTTTACTTTTTTTCGCAAACAACCCTAATTGCAAAGACGAACAACGAGTGATTAAGCTACGAAGGAATGGTTTGGGGAAAATGTCGAAGAACCCTAAAGTCACCTAGAGTGTTTAATTGGGGAAATTGAACAAAGTGTAAAGCAGCATAGTTATCTGACTAAGATTTATCCCCGTCACATAAGCAACGGTGTGTGAGTTGGCAAAACGGGTTTAACATGTTGGCATGTGCTGAGCTTTTATTTCAAAATTTCAAAACTGGCAAAATTACCTTCCTGCCCCTATGATGGACCAATCATTTTCATCACAGTTTGGCACTGCGATGCGTTGAAAGTTGTGCAGTGATGGTGTCGTATGAGTTGAAGAAAGAAGAATTATTATTACTTCCAATTTGGGGGTAATAGTTACATCAAGGGGAGGGTGTGTAACTATTACCTTAATTATTATGACTTATGAGGGTAGTAATCTCTCCATGTCTCTCTTTTCCTCATGACACAACTACCTTATTTCATTTGTAAACACCGTACCTCCTAAAATAGCACCTCTATTTTATTTTATTTTTCAAGTTTGAATTTTATTACCCCCAATCAAAGTAAAAGGGATAGATTTTTGTTACATTTTTTTATTTTGAATTCCGATACATGTATATTCTGTAATTAGGCAACGTTCTTTGGAATTGAATTAAATTGATCGAATAGAGTTGAGTTAAATTTAACTAAAGCAGAATACTTATAAGGAGTTGAGTTGAGCTAACCTACATTAAATTTGCATTGAATTGAACTAAAAATAAGTCCAAAAGAATACGACCTTACTATGACCCAATTATTTGGTAAGGTCCCACAATTAATTTATTATTTTTGCACTAACCCACTTTCACAATATTTTATTATTTCATTTTCCTACTAATTTAATTTAATTTTTATATTTCTAATAATAATTGGGAAGGTGATTTGGATTCATATGGGTTTAGGGTTTGTCATAAACAATACGATCAAAACATTAGCGCAGATGTAAACGTCTCTACTTGGAAAGATGCTCAACATCATCAACAACAACAACAACGCCTTAGTCCCAAAATGATTTGGGATCGGCTAACATGAATTGTCATAAGGAATTGTACGATATTAAGAAAAGGATATAACAAAATCATCATTTAAAAGAGTTTGAAAAAGGTGAGTAAAGTGAGTAAAGAAAGAGCATTTAAGACAAATTAAGGGAGTTTTAAAAGAGAACCCAAAATAAAATTCAAGAAAGATTTAAACAGTGGTTAAAACGTTGAACTAGATTACATAAAGGTTTGAGAAAACTTTACGTAAAGTCTATTTTAAAATCCAATCCTTAGACTCTATTTATATCAATAACTTTAATTTAATACTTCTCTTTCTCCTTTTAATTCTATTTTTGTAATAAAATAACAATTGATAAACAAATAATCTATTAACAATTGATAATAAAAATAACAAATGTCTAACTAAAGTTTGGAATGAATTCTACTCCATTCCAACTCATTCCAAAAGATCAAAACAAACACCCCTTAGGTTTCTAAACCCCATACCTTGTGGATTTGAGGTATGGGTTTAAAAATTAGATTTTTATTCAACAAACATTAGGTATGGATTTTACTCATTCCAACCCCATGCCTCATATCTAAAACCTACGAACCAAACGCCCCCTAAATAGTTTAAAGAAAGATAATCAACATTGTAGAGGAGATATATAAGTGAGGTTAAGAGGAGTAAATGTTAATTATATTAAGAAAATAAAAACAGTGTCATTACTTAGACAAATGGTCTGGGCGTTTGATTATTCTTATTTAACGCTTATTGTTCTCACAAAGGTCTTTAAATAGGAAAAAAAGGGTTTTCTCTCATTGTCTAAATTTTTTAACGGTTTTTTCATCAAATACCCCTGATTAATTCGTTTATTCACCATTTATCCATGAAAACTTTCCAAATTCACCATATACCCCCGAGTTTAACAACAATGTCCCAAATGCCCAAATGACTAACGGACGTCAACTCCGTTAGTCATTAAGGGTTAATTGTGCCACGTGGCAGCATTTGATTG